CTACCATGATTTAGGAAAAAGTTATAATAGTGAACTTTATTCTCATGCATTATTTAACTAGATCGTTGTGTGTATTGAAATGTTTTCAAAAGCTGTCTACCGCAGTATATCTGATTACACTATGGTACTGGTTCTAGGCTACTGCTGTTGGCAATTTTTTCTTTTCTCCCCACACTTGTTTGTGTACAAAACTTCAATCATCCTCTCTACATTCGTTCGCCCAATGATCCTTCTCCAGTCCTGACTTTTCTCTTGGGCTTCATTTCTACATTTCTGATGATCCACTGGACAAATGGAACTCAATGTTCTACCCCATATTTAGCACAAGTAAAAATGAATCTTCTTTTCACTTCTCCCAAATCAGTAACTTCTGACTTAACTTTTCTTTTCAATGGAGCTGTCATTCTCTTGGCTGCTTGGGCTCCACTGTTTTCTCTCTTCTCCCACATTTCATCATCACATCCTAATTTTTCTTCCTTTAACACACCAATATCATGCCCTCATGACTATGAATTTGGGGAAAGACTTGGGAATGTGAGTTCACTGAGATCTCTATGCCTCACTTTTTTAAACCCTCTAATACAAGGTTAAAAATACATACCAGGATTGTTTTGAAGATTACATGACCTAATGCACACAAGAACTTGACACCACGTTAAGTTCCACGTGTTGTTCTCTTCCCTGCCTTCCGTTTCCATGGCCAACATTATAGTGGTATTCCTCACAATATCTCTTCTAAATGACTGCTCTAATTTCTAAACTGTGCTTTCAATCTTTCTCCAAAACACTTCCTAAAACACTATTTGGTTCACATTTTGATCTCATCCAAAAGACTTTAATGACTTTAATTTTTAAAGCTGAGGTATCTAAACTTAACTTTAGAGGCTGCTTATTAAACTATAAACTCTTTCAGGAAGGACAAGGACTTCTGTGTATTCATATTAGCTTTCCCTGAAGCACACAGCATGCACCAGAGGTTCAATGAACATTTCCTCCAAAAAATTATTAAAATGATGATCTTATCTAAAAGTATGTTAAAAATATGAGAACTTATTTTTACCACACTAAATTATTCAAGGACACTTTTACTTATTTATTATTTTTATTTATTTTACCTTTTAATTTATATCCAAGTTAGTTAACATATAATGCAGTAATGATTTCAGGAGATTCCAGTGATTGATTCCCTATGTATAACACCCAGTGCTCATCCCAACGAGTGTCTTCCTTAAATGCCTCTTACCCATCTAGCCCATCTCCCTTCCTATAACCCCTCCAGCAACCCTCAGTTTGTTCTCTGTATTTAAGAGTCTCTTAAGTTTTGTCCTCCTCCTTGTTTTTATATTATTTTTGCTTCCCTTCTTTATGTTCATGTTTTGTGTCTTAAATTCCTCATGAGTGAAATCATACATTTATCTTTCTAATTTCACTTAGCATAGTACCCTCTAGTTCCATCCACGTAGTTGTCAATGGCAAGATTTCATTCTTTTTGATTGCTGAGTAATACTCCATTGTATATATATGCCACATCTTTATCCATTCATCTGTCCATGGACATTTGGGCTCTTTCCACACTTTGGCTATTGTTGATAGTGCTGCTATAAACATTGGAGTACACGTGCCCCTCTGAAAGAGCACGCTTGTATCCCTTCTTCAAGGACACTTTTAAATTTCAGTTCTGATCTTTATATGGTCTTTCTTTAATCACTTCAAGTATTTGGTAGCAATTTGCTTGACTGTTTTAGGTGTAGAAGCAATGACTGGTGGCTTCATCTCTCACTGTTTTTCTGGTCCTTGAAGAGATAAACACCTTGAAGAAGTTGTATGCCAGCTTCACAGTCATTGCTCATGTTCACTGGAGGGCAGTGTTGTCAATAAGCAAGTTCTGGATTCATTTCATTTTGCACTGCATGTGTTATCATTTGGAGTCAAAAGTTAATATGGAAAAAAATTTTTTAAGACTGGAATATGTTTCAGGTATGCTGTACCACACTTATCCTAAAACAGTGGTTCTCAAACTTCTACATGTATATGAATCACCATTGACCTATGTTGTCCAATACAGTACCCATTTGCCATATGGCAATAAAGCACTTGAAATGTGGACAGGCAAACCGAGATGTGCTATGACAGTAAAGTGTACTGCAGGGAGTGAGTACAGAAAAGGAATGGAAAATATCTCAATAACTTGTATTGATCGTATGTTAAAACGAAAATATTTTGGTTATACTTTGTTAAATAAAACACATAGAATTAATTTCATCCAATTCTTTTTATTTTTTAAATGTGGCTACGATAATATTCAAAATTACATATGCAATTCACATTTGTGCAAATACACAAATGTTATGTTCCTGTTGAACAGCATGGCTCATATGGTTTAAAAATGTTTCCTGGGTTGAGGTGCTTGGGTGGCTCAGCTGGTTGAGCATTCAACTCTTGATTTCAGCACAGGTCATGATCTTAGGGATGGGATGGAGATCTTGCATTGAGTTCCACATCAAGCTCCAGGCTCAGCATGGAGCCTGCGTAAGATTCTCCCTCTTCTCCCCCTCTCCCCCACTTGCAAGCTATCTCATTAAAAGAAAAAAAAAAAAAGTTCCCTGGGTCCCAGTTTTGGAGATTCTGCTTTGGTTGTTGCATGTTAGGGCCCAAAAATCTGATATTTTTTAGGTCTCCAAGTAATTCAAGTGATAAATCATGGTAGGGAATGATCATTCTATACTGCTTTTGATGGTCTTCAACACAGCAGTGATTCAAAGATAACACAGATAAACAATTTTCAATTTTGATTGTGTGATAACTGCTGTCCCATAAAGTCAAATGCATGTTTTTCAATTAGCAAAAACACTTTTCAATTTATCATCACAACATGACTATTTTGTGGTAGTGGAAGAATGGTAAGAACAATTAAGGAATATCTATCACAAACTTAAGTGCACATAATCTTTGACTCACTTCTAGAAATTGATCTTGCAGATCTTCTGACAAGATCACTCCAATATATCTGTGATTCGCTTCAGTACAATTTGAAATAGTGAAAAACTGGAAACTGAGGAAATAAATTATGATATCGCCAACTGAATACTACACAAGCTATAAACAAGAATAAGTTCATTTTGGGGCACCTGGGTGGTTCAGTCCGTTGGGCGTCCGACTTCGGCTCAGGTCCTGATCTCACTTTTAGTGGGTTCGAGCCCCGCGTTGGGCTCTGTGTGGAGCTGCTCAGGGCTTGGAGCCTGCTTCAGATTCTGTGTCTCCTTCTCTCTCTAACCCTCCCCTGCTCACGCTGTCTCTCTCTCTCAGAAATAAATAAAAACATTAAAAAAAAAAAAGAATAAGTGAATAAGTTCATTTTTAAGTGCTGGCATGGAAAGATGTCTAGATTTATGAGGGGCAAGAAAGTTGCAGAAAAGTATGCAGATCTTACCTGTACATATAAAATATGAAAAAATATGTATTTGTATATGTATAGAAAGTCTCAAAAACTTTTAATAGTGGTTATTGTTAAAGCGGGGAGATTCCCAGTGATACCGAAAGGAACTTTTTGCTTTTTATATCCTTTTGTACTGTTTTAGCTTGTTTACTATGAGCAACATGTAAATTTACATTTACATTACAAAATACTGTTAAAATATCTACGTATTGCCCAGCCAAGTAAATATTTCATCACTTAGGGTCCTGGTTACAGAAATTTGCTTTACACTATTAACCTTTAATCTGAAGTTTGGTCTTCATTTTAATTCTCTAAAAGGGCACCACATATATTCATTTATTCATTCAACCAATAGTTACTGAAAACCTACTTTACGCTGGACAGAACACTGTTCTAAGGCCAAACAATAAAAAGTGGACACAAAACAATGTGTTCCTTAGACATGGGAAGGACAATAAACAAACCCAGACATAAATAATAATTAGTAATGAGTACCATGAAGACCTGAGTTTTCAAATGCTAGAATGTTCAAATGTCATGTGTGCTTATGTATGCATACATATGCATTCACTCACACATACTAATTAATACAATCGTCGCTACCGAATTTTTTAAGAGTCATTTGTATATGGTATTCTGGGATATTTCTCAAGCCAAACTTTCTCTTGCATTCATTATAACGAACTCAGTACAAAGAGATTAAAAAGAACAAAGCTTCTCAGTTTATGAATTTAGGCAAATAACTTAGCTGCTTTAGACTCAATTTTCTCCTCCGCCAAATGGGGTATTTACCTCTCAGGAAGAAGTCTACGCGCTGACAAAGTAACGCAACAGCAAGCAGTGCCTGGCACAAGAAAGCGCAAGGATGGGGTGGGGCGGATAGGGCGCGGACGCCCGCACTGGGGCGCAGCTGGGCCGCGTGCAGCGCGGCGAGCGGGCTCTCCCGCAGACGCGCGGTATTCTCGCCGTGGACCGCAGGACAAAAGCGGTGCTTTCACATACTTTTTTCACCCAGACATTCCTGCACGCCAATTTCTGTCTCTGGGCGTGCGGAGACCAGTGCCCGCCAGCTCCTGCGGCAACTGCCGCCGGCGTCAAGCCAACCAGCCAACCCGACTACTTGAGACGGTCGGTCACACGCTGAGGCCGTCCTGAGCTGCAAAACTCAAGTCCACTCCCAGCCCCCAGCCGGCCAATCTGTTCTGGGCGGACTTGGCCCGAGGCAGGCGGTAGTCTCGCCTCCAACTGCGGCTGTTAGTTTGAATTCTGGCGCCACTCACACGCCACGTAGAGCCAGACTCGGAAGCGACGGATCGCCGAGCGCAGCGGGCGCGCACCGGGAACTGGGCGGGCGTGCGGCGGGCGGGCGACGCGCGCACCACGCCCCGGAACCAGCCCCCGAAGAAAAGAGCCGCCGCGCGCGCTCCCGCTCTCGCCCTCAGGAAATGGCCACGCCCCCATCATCTCCCAAGACCAATAGACGTGAGAGGGTGGGGCGGCCTCGGTCTGACTCAGGAGAGGCTATAAAGGGAACTGCTGGCCGCACGGCTCGGTCTTTTACGTCTGGATTTTGAAGGCGTCGTGTGGTTCTAGGTGAGTGGGCGCTGTGGGCGACTACCTGAGCGGGCCGGATCGAAGAGGCAGAGGTTCGCTACAGCACTGTGAGATTATTTAGAGGTTTGAATTTAGAGTGCTGTGTGTAGAAAATTTGCACGTGGAAAACACGTAGCCGGACTGCCACGTGTCTTGAGTGATACTGGTGGTGGCGGACTTCGAGCTTAGGCGTGTGGAGGCTGGTGCTGATGGCCACGAGCGCTGCGCGCGGCCTGCTTGCCAAACCCGACATCCGGCTGGCCAGGCCTGGGCGGCGGCGGCGGCAGAAAAACCATATTCCTAGGATTTGGGGCAGGGAATTTTACGTTGAGCAAGAGGCCTTTAATAAAGCCAGTGTCGTTTTCTCATCGCAGATCAAAAGGTCGTTTGAAAATGGGAAGTCCCTGACCTTGCCTGAGCTGTAGTTGTACTGTGCCCAGGTGGCGCTGTGTGCAAACTAGATTAGTGATGGGGAGGGTTTTAGTACTGAAAATTTTCAACTGGCATTCTGTAAGAATGTTTAGCTTTAAATATTTTGGTCCCCTGCAGGAACAATGGCTCTCGGTGGTGCAACGGAGGTGTTACTTGGAGATGTTCAGGTAAGTACTGTTGAGAACTTAGTTTTTAAACTGAGGAAGTAAACCTGTTGATTTACAGTAAAAGATGATGCATTATTTGAAATTTGCTTCTTACTAGATACAAAGGAAAATTCCAAAATCCGTGAGGGAGTATATGCTGGGAAATTACTTGGTTGGAACCTGACCACCTTACCCAGGTATGTTGGGCTAATTGATTGTTGGGCTAGTAATTTGATTCAGTACAATTAGTCCATATGTAGATTAAAATGAAAAAAAATTTTTTTTTCCTTGACTAGTATCCTGGGAGTTGATGAATACTAACGAATCTATGAATGTCACTGACAGGCAACGTCATTTTTAAAGTAAGTTGTGTGGCTTAACAAGATCAACTGTAGTGTTTGTAATACAGTGCTTGCCTTTTAACATTTCTTTCCCTTATGGTAAATTTCACTGTAACATAACTTAATGGACTACAGTCTTATCAATGATGAACCTATCCCGAAGCTGACTACCTGAAGAAAAGCATGTACGGATTCGGCTTCTGAGATAAGACTTAATGTGAAGTTTTCATTGTCTGGATTTTATAACAGAGAGTTCTGTTAGGTTATAAATCTTGTACGGAGAAGACTGCTACCTCAAATGATGTGGATTTTTTTTCTCTGTCAACAGTGAGGGGTCGCTGTCTTTCCATTGAAAGAGGCCAGTTTGCTGTAACCTTCCTAAGATGAAACGCATTTCTGTGAGTGGAGTTTTTTTTGTTTTTATTTTAATTTTTTTTTTTTTACTAACAGTTGGTCAGTACCTTGTCCTTGGTCTTATATGATGACCTTATCCCGAACCTGAATATCTGTTGAGAAAACTTAACGGATCTGGCTTCTGAGAGACCATAATATGGACAATATTTTTTTTAAAGTTGTTTTGCTCTTCTGATGTTGATAGTCTTGTAAACCTCAAATACTTTTCCTTTTCTAGGGCTAATACCACCAGATTTACTTGTATGAAAAATCGATAAGGAAAAGACTTCATTTTACTGACATGGGAAGAAAACCGACAAATCAAGACTTTTTTTGTAAACAGATTATGAAGCAGCATCAAATTTAGATTAATGTATTTACAAGATTTAGGCCATTGTCTTTTGTTTATGTCATACTGCCTTAGAGAGTCATAACCTGTTAAGCAGATTACTTTGTGGATCTGTTTTTATTCTAAACACAAGAGTGCATAGGAAACTACAAGTTTTTGATGTAGAAGTCTTTGTTAACCAGACTTGTAATTAGCTTGTGAATGTTTCACCTTTGGTCACCTGTTTTAAATTTAAAATGCACAATTGTAATTAAAGCTGAGTGAAAATGTAAACTGAATATTGTGGGAAAAGTCCTTAAGTTTTTATGGAGGGGTGACTCATTTTGGCAGTTACCACAGAAGGATCATGTTGGCTTTTGGTAGCGTACTAAATATTACTGGATTAACGGTAAGCAGAAAGAAAGTCTGGATCTGTTACTGGGGGAGCGGAAAATACCAGGTATTGGTGATTTTGATTACTGAATTCCGGAATATTTGGTCCCAGTGAATTATAATTTGAAAGGATGCTTAAGATGTAAAGTGTGAGGGGTACCTGAGTGGCTCAGTCAGTTAAGCATCTCCACTCCATGCTGAGCATGAAACCTACTTTAAATACCGATGGGAAAATGTGGAATGCTGAAAATGAAGAGAGCACAGCCTGACAATGGGTCATGGGGGGGTTTGCTGATAAGATCAAACCTAGCATTGAATGGATTTAGCATAGACAGTAATAGCATCTGATCTAACCAAGATGGTTTGGCCCTGTGCATGATCATTTTCCCTAAATAGCTGCATGAATAAATTGTTGCTAAGCTTATACTTCAGTGTTAGTCAAAAGAATATTCTTGTCAGCTTATGATAATGAACTGCCTTTTTTTCCTAAAATGTTTTCTTACCTTAATAAACATTCAGTTTTGAACCCATGTAGCTCAAGAGGCTCAGTGACAGCCACGTCACTCAGTGGGCAGACAGTGAATTTGCTCAGGATTTGCAATGATACACAAAATGCACCTTGGAAAATGTTTATTGCAGCCATGTAAAAATAGGTATTAATGCCACCACATAGACCTAAAATATTCTGGGTCTCTACACACTGAAAAGAGGAATTCCACAGTGACCATACATAGTCACATGAATGTAGAATGAACTGCAAGTCTGCAGGAAATAACCATGCTTTACATGGTGTGTAAATATTACAAGGTGTGGTCCCCTTAAGGCTTGCTAAACTCTAGCAAAGGGAAAAGCTGCCTGGCATAATGGATTACATATAATGGGATCTTGGTGTTATCAAAAGAAATGGGAACAGGTTGTGTAGCTCAGCTACCTACTTGGCACTTATTTACAGAGGAAACATTAAGTGTACAATGAAGAGTGACTGGGGTCTGCACATTTTCAAGAAAATATCTACCCTCTTGTCAAAGCTGGCAAACCTCATTTTATTTTTTTTACTCTTCATTAAGTTTAATGTTTTTTTTATTACAAATAGTTTGTCAGGTTGGTTTCCTGCCATATAAACACACAGTGCTCATCCCCACAAGTGCCCTCCTCCATGCCCATCTCTCCCCTCCCCTCCTAACACCCATCGTTCCTCAGTTTGTTCTCAACATTTAAGAGTCTCTCATGGTTTGCCTCTCTCTCCCCTCCACTGTTTCCCCCCTTCTTCCCTGCGGTCCTCCGTTAAGTTCTTCCCAATCCTCCTATACGTGCAAACATATGGTATTTGTCCCTCTCTGCCTGACTTATTTCACTCAGCATAACACCCTCAAGGTCCATCCATGTTGCTACAAATGGCCAGATTTCATTATTTCTCATTGCCATGTAGTATTCCATCGTATAGATAAACCACATCTTCTTGATCCATTTGTCCGTTGATGGACACTTAGGCTCTTTCCATGTTTTGGCTATTGTTGAGAGTGCTGCTATGAACATAGGGGTACATGTGCTCCTATGCCTCAGCACTCCTATATCCCTTAGGTAAATTCCTAGCAGTGCTATTGCTGGGTCATAGAGGAGTTGTATTGTTATTTTCCTGAGAAAACTCCACACTGTTTTCCAGAGGGGCTGCACCAGGCAAACCTCATTTTAAAACAAGTTGTGAAATGGATGAAAAATGCTTCAGGACACTGACCTCTTCCTACAGTCTTTGCTCCTTTCCCTCCCAGTTGATCTGGTAATGTCACATTTTTTCAGTTTCTTATAATGTGCATTTTATGGATTGCACTGTACTGGGCTCTGCAGAGGTTAGAAGTAAAACACTTCCTATGTCCTCATTCTGTTAATAGTGACAAAATGCCAAGAAAACCAAAGGCAGTGTGTAAAGTACTGTGAGAAAAATGTCCTGAGATTGAACAAGTGGATTTGAGTCAAAACCATCTCCAGGAGATGTGAGAAGCATAACATTTTTAGGTATAAACACTTTGAGCAAAGATTTAATGCTCCATGACTTTAGAATGGTGAATTTAAAATTTAGGTATCAATTGGATGGTAAATAAGGGACAAAGTAGAAGACAGACTGAAATATTTTGGGGTGAAAAGCATAAAAAGCTATGGTCATTTGAATTCCCTAAAACTTGTTTTTTTTCAGTGGGAAAGCACATGGCAGAAAGTCACATTTAGTCATTTGACTAGAGAGTCTACGTTACAACAAATAAGTCCGGTCCAAAATGGTACAATTTAATGGAATTAAGCTTGAAAGCTCAACATCTTATAATTAACATAGCTTTCATTAAAACTAATTCAAACCTGTAATAGACCTAAATAGTGTTTTTCATTCATACAATATGGTCTTGACTATTAGACCCTACTAGCCCTCTGTTTTATGAATGCTAACATTACCAGGTATTACTTTTATATTAAGTCTCTGGCTAAGGGACTTGACTCTTCTGATGTACAATTTATAGAGAATTTAATGGAGACAAAGCCTTCAAGACCTGAGGAATAAAGGAATATGACTTTAATAGACTGAGGTCTGCTTGTTTAGGACTGATACCAGAAGTTGAAAGCAAAACCTAACATGTGTCTGGCTTTAGTGGCTTTAACCAATAGGAATTCTTTTCTTTCTGCCCTCCATCACACTTCCAGATTATCTTCAAATATAGTAGGCTCAAAGCTATCATTTGGTGCTTTCTAAAATTAGTTCTGTTGCCAGAAATCTAATGTCCACTGCACTTGACTTTGTAATCAAATTCTCTCTGAATTGATAGTACACTTCATAAATCCTTAACTGCTTACCTAGCCTGTGTGAAATCTTTTTGTTGTGTTCAGGCTTTTAACACCAATTTCCCAGTTAGAATATTTATTTGAATTCCAGCCTACTAGGATAGTCTGCTTATCTTTTGCTGGTCCTTCCTTCCTTTAGGTGGGGACCCTCTTTCCCATCTTTCTTCCCAAAAGTTTGGTTCTGAGTTCAAGTAGTACTCCTAGTATAGCATAGTATTCATAATTTCCTGACTGAATTTTGCCCCTGCCATTGGTCTTGTTGCACCTCACTGATTCTACATATTTGGATGTGTACAAAGATCAGATCAAAGCACAAGTTTTCCATAAGGTGCTGGAAGGTTTATGGACCATCTTGGGGTGGAGAAGATATTTTTCCAGAATGAGAACCAAACTCCTTGGTCTCATTCTTATAAGGCCTGGCCTCTTCCCCTTATCACTAGTCCACTGCTAAAGTCCTGGCATACCATGTGGCTGAGTTATAACAGTAAATAAAGATTTAATGTCACAGAATCCCTGAATACAGTATAATCCAACCTTTTTTGGGAACTTAATTATGCTCACTCTGTTGATTCTAATTCTTTTCAAAATAGTATTAATAATGAAAAAAGGATTTAAGAATACTTAACAATTAGGATTTGAAGAAAATAACATACATATAATACATTACTGAGGTCAGTGAACTTTTGACATATCCTTGTCTCCTAACTATAGAATATAATAAAGTACAAGAAATTGTTCATTTTTAAATGTACAGTTTGATGAGTTTTTCCTTTGGTACACACCCATGAAATCATAAGTTTTAGAGACGTACAGATTTCATGGAAGAGATCTGAGCTGGAGGAACAAAACGGAATCATCCACATGTGGATGGTATATTTAAAGCCATAATATTACATGAGATCACCAAAAGAGTGAATATAAATAGACAAAAGAAGTGGTCCAAGAGTTGAGTCCTGGAATGTTCTAAGAGTAGGGGATTCCGGGTTTCGTTAAAATCCTGGAGATTATTTTGTGCCTGGGACAAAAATTGAGAAGCAGAAATCCATTGTCAGTTCCAACTGTTATATAAAGAACAGGAACTAGATGGAAAATCAAGGAGTTCTGGAATAAAAAGCAAAGGTGAAAACTAAGCAAATAGGTTGGGGTATGGGGCTGGAGATAACCTTGATTTAATGCAGGCCTTAACATGGAAATTGAGGGAATTAATATCTGAGAACTACTTTGTAAATTAGCAGGCAAAGTAGTCTTCAGGAAAGATTGAGGTAAGGAATTTAGGAAGTACGATAAGGGTTTTCATCAGACACTGCAGACTTAGAGAAGTGGAGTTGACTACAGACAAGTTAGAGGTTTGTTTTACAGAGCCAAAGTGATTGCTAGGCTAAAAACTACTGATTTTAATTGTTACTCAGCATAATTCTTCACTGTTCTCCTATGGGGAACCTATCTGCCTGGGAGCAGAAAACAGATCAGTGGATTAATCCAAAATGAGAAATAAAGTGGCCAGGAAGAGCAAAACAATGACAAGCCAAGAGAATTGATTTGGTAAAAGTGTTATTAAAACTATTAGCCTTGAGATCCAATCTGATTAGGGAAAAACACAAAACAAGTGAGGGTCCCAAGTAAGACAAAGATCACATGTACCATGAAAAGATAATAATGAAAACTAGGAGGGGTGCCTGGGTGGCTCAGTCAGTTAAGCGTCGGACTTCGGCTCAGGTCATGATCTCACAGATCGTGGGTTCGAGCCCCGCATCAGGCTCTGTGCTGACAGCTCAGAGTCTGGAGCCTGCTTCAGATTCTGTGTCTCCCTCTCTCTCTGACCCTCCCCTGGTCTCTCTCTGTCTCTCTCTCTTTCTGTCTCTCTCAGAAATAAATAAAACATTAAAAACAATTTTAGAAAACTAGGTAAAATAAGGTCCTCTCCAGTTATACTACAATGACCCATAGTGTGTTGTATTCCAATTGTTGGTTTATTTCTCTGGCCCTAGAATGTGAATTCTTTACAAGAAGAAAATGTGCCATTTAATCTCTTAAATTTTGACTAGGACAATGAAATGACTCCTGTAAAAAATTGTCTAAGTGGAATTCAATTTGTATATTTAAGGTTTAAGGTGGGCAATGATGATGTGATTTAACTTCTCCAAAAGGGGTAAAACAAATAAGAAAAATTGGAAGTGTCATGGACAAATACTTGTGTTCCCCAAAATTCAGATGTTGAAGTCCTAACCTTAGTGTGACTTATTTGGAGATAGAGCTCAAAAGAAGTAACTAGATTTAAATAAGCTCATAAGGGTGAGGCTCTGATCTCGGAGTAAGAGTGTCCTTATAAAAAAAAAGAAAAAAAGACACCAGAGAACTTATAGTCTCTCCCTCTCCCATAGCACAACCACAAAGAAGAGGTCACATGAGCACACAGTGTGATGGTGACCACCCACAAGCCAAGACAAGAGGCCTCAGAATGTTGAACTTCCAGCCTCCAGAACTGTGAGAAAAAAATTCATTTCTATTGTTTAAGCCACCCAGTCTGTGATATTTTGTTATGGCAGCTCTAACAGACTAAGAAGCAAAGGATAAATGGCCACTGCTATAATTTTAAGA